AAATTGGGCTCATCTATTGTAGCCTAAATCAATTAATTTTGACTTTTATTGGACTTGAATAATTAGCCCAATTATATTAATCCATAATTTATTTGGACTAATATATTCATGAATTTAATATAATCCGAATCATTTTATAAATTCATATTTAATAAATTTTAAATGATTACATACCTAAATACACATCTTATTTTACCATAATCTCTAAAATTTCCTACCATTTGAAAAAATTTCAAAAATCTCATCTTGGATACATCACTCCCCTCTCGCTGATACATCCCTATCCCCCTTGCTGGTACATCCCTTCCCTCTCGAATACATCCCTCCCCTCTCGGATACACCGCTCCCGTATGTATCTGGATGTCCTATCCCCTCTCAGATACATCTCTCCCTTATGTATTTGGATGTCTTATCCCCTCTCATCCCTCCCCTATGTATCTAGTTGTCTACTAATGTATCAGGAAGTCCAGTGATGTATACGGAAGTCTAGTCATGTATCCGAAATTTATAAATTTTAAGGGATTCTTTTAATTTAGAAAAGTGTAGGAAAATAATGTAATTAACTATTGGCACTATGAGATTTATATAAATTATACTAATAATTATATGTTGAGATGGGTAAAAATTGTATTTTAAAGTTTACAAGTTGTAATTATGTAAATTATACTAATAATTAATAAGGCCAAACTTCAAGCATTTTAGTGAACTTTTAGGTAATGAACAGAAAATTATATGACCACCTCTCGTCCTAGAATATGCCAACCTTGCCTTTTAATTATTATTTGTTAAAATGGAAAGTCTTTATACTAATTTTAGAAAGTTATATAGTAATTATTATTATATGTCTCAGACATTGAATTAAGGACGAAATAGATACTATTATTCATGTAACAAAAAACGTTCAAATGAAGCCATGCAATATATGTGGTGCTCTATAAATTGGAGATAGATTAATAGCAAGCAAAACACAGAAAGAAAGATGAAGTCGATTAATATATTGAGTTTCCTGTTGGTTTCAAGTTTGGTTGCCTTTTCTCATGAATTTTCCATTTCTGATAATAATGGGAATGATGTATCCCATGCTGTGCTGGACATGGAGGGCGAACCACTCAAGATAGACGAGGAGTACTCCATTATCAGTATTCCCTATGGCGGTGGAAACGTATACTTAACTGATCTTGGAAACACCAAATGCCCAAATGGCGTTGTGCAGGACAGTTCTGGTGAATTTGATAACAACACACCTGTGTTGTTTTATACTATGAAACTTGGAAGTCATTTCGTTTATGAAAACCAAGATGTTAGTATAAAGTTCTCAACTTCTTCTTCTTCAACTAAGTCATCTTTTAACGAAACTGTTTGGAAAGTTGGTTATTCCATCGTAGGGCCGACGCATTCACCACTTAGGTTTGTTATAACTGGTGGTACCTTAGGATTTCCAGGACCTAATAACATAGAGAACTGCTTCAAGATTGAGAAATATGAGAAAGGGATACCTCATTCTTACAAGTTAAGGTATTGTCCTAGTTAATATATTTGTCCAACATGCCAATTTGATTGTGCAGATGTCGGACTATACGAAAATAAGGGATACGCCCGTCTGGCTCTCAATAACAAGCCTTATCCATTTGGCTTCACCAAAGTAAACAAGAATGATGCATAGTTAGTTAATTATCTATGCTTATTATAACCTAGCTAGCTTTCTAAAATAATGTGGATCATGCTTCCATGTAATATTAATGCTTATGATGAATAAAATATCTAGGTCCTTTATTTATCAATTTCTGCTTCCAAACAATTGATTCAACAATCAAATCTGATTCAAACAAGTTTTAATTAATAAGTGCTACGTATTACTTATGGATAATCCCATCCGGTACCGTCACGACATTAGTATTCAGCTAGTCTGCGGAGCCACGACTAAGTCGAAATTGTAATATACATTGTTATTGATTAGTTTACCTGATGTGAATTTCATGGATAAGATGTATTAATCAATTGCATATTAATTTTGATTAGTCGTCATGCCCAGTAGACTTAAATTAGGTTTAAGGGGGGAATCTAAAATATTAATAAAAAAAAGCTCAAGAAAGACTATTGTAATGAATGCAATGTGTATTATATGTTGGTTTGACTAGGAGTACTGAATTTTATTGTATATTGAATTGAAGTCTCATTGTTTATTGTTGTAGAAATTTATTTGTATAACAATTTTCAAATATCCCTACTCCTTAGGGCATTGAGGATATATTATTTTATTAAGGAATCCGTTCGTCCATTATACTTTTAATATTTTGATATGTGTCATACAAATAATCTAACGGATCAGATTTGTTTGATTGACTAAAAGAGCTTATCATAATTAACATTTTTTTGCTCGCATTACTTCAAAAAAAAAAAAACTAAATTTTTTTCTCTCAATTTCCAAATCTTTCGGAATAATCATCAACTTCCTGGTTCAAATCTTTCACTGCAGTATATATTTTTTAATTTTTTTTCTACCATTTCATTCAATTTCTTTGCATTACTTACTGCTACTCTTTTCATTCTTCATGTGTTGAAGAATGCCTTTCGATATTTTCTTCTTCATCATATTTAATTTTTCCTCTTCCACCATTTCAGTATATTCCTTCTCTTTGACTAAGTTTAATATTGAAAATTTTGATATACAGATGTTAAATAATCCAACATAATAAATGAAAATGAGTTACGGAGAAGGGGTTTCAAAAAAGCCAGATTTGAAAATACCCAGGACTTATTGCCCAAATCGTTCTGTAAAAGTTACAGAGAAAGATGCTTTTTTTCTTTTTTAAAAAAACATATGAAAACTGAAACTACCTTTTTTGATAAGAAAAGATAAAAACATCGATTGAGTAGTCTTGGAAAATTTCAATTAAACTTTGTCAGAGAGTGAAGGCATCAATTAGAAAATTATCAATAATTAAAAGTAAAATGAATTTAAAGTCTCAAATATCAACACTACAAAAACCTAGAAATCTATTGCTAATTTGCTACAAAAGAATTTGAAAAAATAAATTATAGTACAGAAGGAAATGATTCTAACACAGAATTGAAGTGAGAGATATATCAACTATGATTAACCTCTTTTAGTTAACCAAATAAATCTGACCCATTAAATATTTATATGACATATATTAAATATTAAGAGTGTCCTGGAGGAACTGGACAGATCACCTACTGGAGAGGAGCCAGTCCCCTCAAATCTAGCCTTGAATTCTTGATCGCTACAAAAATAATAAAAGGATACGTAGCAATTGATTTGCATGCATGACAACTACGTTTTTTTTTTAAATCCTACTTCATTGGCATGTTTTAGTTAGGGACAATTACATTAGTATCACTTGGGCAAATAAGACATGGAGCAATAAATACAATAATCAATATGAAAGAGATATTTTTATATTGGTGGTCCTATTTAGGATTCGAATAAACGGATTGGTATAGGATTTTGTTGTATTATTTTGTAACCTTTTTTACAACCAATAAAAACCTTTAACACTTTGTTTGGATCATTGTTATCAATTGTTTCATAATGTATTATATTATATTGTACTCTACTGTATTGTATTGTATGGTAAATATAATGTTTGGCTAGACTGTATTGTTTGATTTGATTGTATCGTACTATATTGTAATTTATAAATTTACTAAAATATTCTTAATTATTCTAGGTAGGAGATTTGACTAGAATTAAATAATATAAGGTAAAGGGTAAAATAGTATTTTGAAATATTATATAAAAATATAATTGGAAAAAGAAATTAAGTAACAATGGGAACACATCAAATCGGTTGTTTCATAGCATATATAGGGGTTTTCATTGTTACATAACAACGAAATTTAACAATACAATACAATACATTTTAAGTAACAATCAAAACAAACATTATAGGTATAGTAACGATACAATACAATACAATGGGTAACAATGATCCAAAAAGAGTGTTATAAGAGTTTGATACATTTGTTTGATGATGTGACAAACATCTAGTTAAATGATTACACATGGTATTTTATGTAAAAAAAATATTTTAAAGTTTATTTAATAAATAAATTAAAATAATGTTCTAAAATAAATTAGTTTTCCCACACCATCCCTAGGAGAGGGGGAGGGAGGGGGTTTCGTCTTCTCCACCATACCCAAAAATCTCTTTTGTAGAAGGACCCCCCCCCCCCCCCCCCCCCCCAAACGATGTTTACCTCTAAACTCTCTCTTTTTCTTATAAATTACTAACATATTTGACAAAGAAATATTGGATAAAATATTTAATTTGGTTTATACTTAATATGGATAAAAATGGGTAACTTTAATGAATAATATGGGTGTCAATATTATCTATAGCCTCTTATTATATAGAGAAATACGTACTTCAATTACAAGATATTTTTCTTGTTCTTTTTCTCCATTTAGGGTGTGTTTGGTATGAAATACTGTATTTCCCTATTATTGTTGAATTTTTTTTTAATTTTTTTTTTTGAAAAATAAGTGGTCTTGAATCGAGGTCAAGAAGTCAAAATTTGGGTCTCGGGTCAAGGTTGGAGTGGGATCAGAAGTTGGATCCTGAACTCATTTCAGGTGTGATGTTTAAGGAAAGTTTTGAAAAAAATTTTGCTTAATTTTTTTGATTCTTTCCACCTACTTTAAGTATGAAAGTCATTTTTTTCTTAAATAAGAGGAAAATAAGTTCATTTGAAAAATATTTTCCAAACATTTAAGCGAATCAAACGTGAAAAAAATTAGAAAATATTTAATAATTTAATATGTATATTTTTAGAGGTTCCTACACCTTTACATTTATTAAGGAGTGCAATTAGTGGATACGATACTCGTGAATTACCTACTCACATTTTATGATGGATAATATGATTTAATTGATGTCTTCCTACTCTCTCAAGTGCTGGACTTGGACGGCCAACCGCTCAAGTACATTTTTAATGTATTACTATATATTTTGAGTCGAGAAGGAACAAAAACAAACTAAAACAAGGCACACATACATTAAAATAGCAACACTTTTACAATGACAGAGGCTACACATGCGTAGCTTTATTTGGACAATACATAAAAACACGACATGACATACAGTGGAAAGGATCTAGAAATCGATAGATATTATTTGGTCGAAACGAAATTATATAATTGATTTAATTCCGATGAAAGGATCCTTAATGAAGACAACATGGAAGGTATTGTCTGTTCTTATGGCCAATCGTCTTTGTCCGTAAGCATGGTCTATGCCAATGTCAGTGCAGATGTGCTCTCCATAAGGACAAAACACCAACTTATAAGTGAAACCATCAACTTCTTTAATCTGAAACCATGAGGCCACATTCATAGTATTTCCTGCTTCCCCGTTCGTTGACAAGTACATTGGTTTATCCTGTCCTGGGAAATCTTCCACTTCCCACACATTGTTCTTACAAATAGTTGGATTGTCAAGATAAAACTCAATGTTAACATCACTCGATTCAATGATTTCTACTTGTTCGGGTGCCTTTGGTTTGAAATACACTGACATACCTCTGTTCGAATCTAGCTTGGACTGCACCACCTGTAGCAAAAAATCGACAATATAATCAACTATATTGCTTTTTGTTTATTAGATGTAGAACCAGCACTGTTATATTGTTCATCCTTCAGATGTCCAGCCCTTCTTCAGCATATTTGGATATTAGATCCATATTTGTCGTGGGAATTCATGCATCACCTAATTAGTTAGCTTGAGGAGTTGAGGTATGTCTTCTAGGGTACATTATGTACTACACTTAATTTTAACTTGTAAGTAGAAAAAAAATATCTCTTTTTTGAAACAAACTTTTTTTTTTTTTTTTAAAAAAAGGAAATATATAAATATGAAGTAAAATTTAACTTTAACAGTTTAAACAACTTTTTAAATTAGATGGTCATATAGTTTAACAACCTGGGAGGGACACACGAAGTTAGCGTCTCCATTAATTACGGGGCCTCGCAGTACTCCGCCACCCCCGGCTCCTCGTATTACTGACACGATAAAGTACCTGGTGTCTGATCTGAGAATTTCACCATTAATGTCACGCACCACCTGCAACACTGGGTTAGGACTAGCACTAGTGCATGAACACCAAAATGCAAGGAGAAATGAAATTAGCAAAACAACGCTCTTCATTTTCTTTTATTCTAATTTGCATGCTTCATACAGGACCTCTCAATTTATAGACAAGAAATGTCGATATTTATCAACTTTTTTTTATTTGCACAAAATTAAATGAGAGTGACAAGTAGATATTAGAATTAGAATATATATACTGATAATACTGTATATTTTACATATTATAGTAAGTAATTTAGAGTCCATGCTTGGGTTCATTAATTAAAAATAGTTGATAAATATTAAGGGGTTGTGTGATTTATGGGATGAAGTAGGCAAGAATATCCCCATGTAATTAGCTATCAGGATAACTAATTTAGTATAAAATGTGAAATTTCAAAATTAATTAATATTTCATAACCAAATACGAAATAAAATAATTTTAAATGTAATCACGGAAATATCATCCTTATCCCGCCAACTAAGTATTTGATATGGAAAAAAATATATTTTCTAATTTTATTGTGTTTGATAGTCAAAATATGAAAAAAAACAAGTTTTATTTTATAATGATAAATATGTCTCTATCTCCTGATAAAATTGTAGAAAAAACAAACACGGTAAAATAAATCAATTCTACCACACCCATGGACCATGGTCCAATAAATTTCAATGATATATTCTTGGATAAAAGCCACCCCCGCTTAGAGTTTTAATGGTTTATTTGGATGCATTTGATTTTTTTCACAAAATAAATCAAATCTAATACAATCATTTCATTCTTTTTAAAGAAAACACAGAGAATGAAAATATGTGGAGTATAGTTTTCTCCTAATCACACCACCATCAAACCACCCCTCTATGAAAAGAAGTGGAGTATATAGGGAGTAGTTGATATTAACATTTGTGGTTGTCCAGGATGTGTTCGGTATAAAAGAAAATAGTTTAATGAAAAATATTCTTTTGAAAGATGTCTTTTTAGAAAATAAAATTGTGTTTACTAAGTAAATAAAAAATATTATTTTAAAAGTAATTTTATATAATCTAGATAATTACTAAGAAATGCAATAGTAAAACTGTAGAAGTAAGGATGTGGGATGGTGAGGATGGGGGGCTACGAGGAGTGAGAATGACGGTAAGGTATTTGGAGGGGTGGCACTACATTAAAATGATCTTTAGCAAAAATTAATCAAAGACAATAGTTTAATTATTGTTATTATATATATATGTGTGTATTTTAGCGACAATTAACACTCTTTGAAAATATTCCTAAAGTCTATAGCGATATTGGATCCAATGACAAGCTAAGTAACTTATTATCCGTAAATGTTTTAGCACTTTTTGTTATTTATATATTTATTGCCACTAAAAATTACTTCCTCTGTCCCTAATTACTTGTCCATTTTGACAAATCAAGATTTTTTTTTTTTAACCTATTATACCCTCAATAAATTACTCTAAAAAGGTAGAACTTTTTGAAAATCTAAAGTTTTTAATTCATTCACTTCATAATTAATAGAGATAAAATGGTAAACTCACTATGTCAATACTTGTTTTCTTAATAGGAGTGTCAATTCAAAAGTCGACAAGTAATGAGGGACAAATGAAGTATTTTTAATGTAGTGTGGGGTGAACACAATCATTGTAAGTGTTACTTGTGGAAATTTATTTTCCCTACTTTCAATGATAAAGTCATTTCTTGTCATTTTAAAGAGATTTATTTTTTTAGAGAAAATATTTTCTAAGAATGCCAAAAGCTATATATCAATGTATAGGTGAAAAATGCAAATTATAAGTTGTGAGTAATCAATTTATAATTTTTTGACTGATTTAACCGTGTAAGTAATTTTTTGTTTTAATTCATTTTATTATAAGCAGTGAAGTAGTACACAAAAAGTAATTACATTGTAACTACTCAACAAAAAGGAACAGTAGGCCATAATTACTTTGTTGTTATCAAATGTGTGGTTATATAAATCAAAATTTATTTTAGTATAAATGTGGTGTCTCGAGATTTATTAATATTCATAGCCAAATACAAAATGAAATAATTTTATATTTTATTATATAATTACTATTTTGCTCCCACCAACCAAACAATATAACTAAGAGTGTATTTGATATGAAAAACTATATTTTTTAATTGTTTGCTTGGTCAAAATATAGAAAACAAGTTTTTTTAAAAAAAAAATTAAAATGAAAAAAATGACAACCCTAATAAATTTGTAAAGAAAACAAGCTCCATAAAGGAACCATTTGTAACGGTGCACCACTAGTGATATTGTTCGCTCTGGGTCTAGGTGGACGGCTTTTAAAATGCGTCACTAGTTGGTAAGGTCTGCTTACTTATATAATACCCAACATCTATCTTGTGTTTTGCAAATGTGGAACTTCTTATCTTAAGATAGGGTGTCACGTACACCCCTTCTATGAACTCAATGTCCTCGCTGAAGTTTACCCCACCACATGGGATGTTACGATCCGAGTCTACACCCTGGACGTGGTCGGCACTCAAGAACCATTGCTAGTCCCCAAGTGAACCCTCATCATGGCTGACTACAAGCGGAAGACTAACTCAAGCATACAAAAGCTTAAAAACTGAATAAAATTCATGAAACTCAAATACAAAACTTTAAGTCAAATGATTTACTCTGAATATAAATAGAATATTCAACTAGCTAATAATAGGCAACTCAAGTCTTTAAAACATTTAATAAGATAAGTGAAACAAACTTCTCAAACTCTATTGTCCATCTATGAAGCCTCTATTGTTACAGAAGAATATCAGGAGAAGACCCACGACATCTCAAACTACTAGCTGCAAAATAAAAGTGGAGTCCTCCGGAATATAAGAAGGCTCACCAAAGCTGACTGGAATATCCCATGACCTCAACGGAACCCCTATTGTATCTGCATCATGAAATGATGTAGGCCAAATGGTTCAGTACATGATAATTAATGTACGAGCATGTAAGGGAAATTCTAAAGTATAAACATAAGCTTGAACTTGAAAAAAAAAGAAACATATCTACCTCTTCTCAACTCACTCAACTAAACTCAAGTCGAGAATAAGATACTCAACTCAAAGGTACTCAACTCAATATAAAACAACAATAAAAGATGCAATATATGGAAAGCTTTTAAAACAATAGATAACAACTCAATGTATGGAAGAATACAATAATAACTCAGTTTATATATAACAATACAATATAACTCTATGTATATAAGAATAATAAAACATTTATGTAGAAGTTTCTCTAATCGACAACATCACTATGAATTATGTGATGATACAACGTCTCACCCACGCTGCCAGAACTGTCCTATACTTTGCTAGGGTATAAGACCTACTATTATCCACTAGTCTATGCTAAAAAGCATTAAGGAATCATCTAAAAAGTTATGACCATTTTAGTAACCTAATACAGTGCTGTTACGAATTAGCCGACGGAAAAATATTAAAAAGGCTCGTTTTTGTATTTTACTTCCAAGAAAATTCTAAACGAATTTCTTGACTAATAAAAAGCTCAAAACAATAAGATTTTTATTTTTTAATCCATCATTCTCTTCTCTCTCAAAACCTAAGGCAAAATCCTAAGGAAAAATCAAAATAGAAGACTCCATTCAAGATTCTTTCAATCTTTTTCAAGATTCTTCTTCAAGATAAGTCTTTGTCCAAGAATTTTATTCTTTTCAACTCAAATTAATCAGTTTAGACCCTTAATTGGGTGAAATTCACATTTAGAATAAAACACCTCTCCTATTTTTGGGTGAGTTTCCTTAACTGGATAGCCTGACTTCAAAAGAGCATATCTCACTCATTCGAGCTCTAAACTTAGCAAATTCGGTGGCGTTGAAAAGATAATTCAAAGACCTTTCATTTGATATCTTATGGGACACCTAACTCATCCTTTGCTAAAAGTTATGGTCGTTTGAAATTGATCCAAAACTTAAAGGAACCTAGGAATTCTTTTTGGAACTCAAGGTGCTATATCTAGTGACCTTAACACTTAGGAAAATTTTAAATTCCTTGGTAAAAATTTACTCACTACGAAGGATGGTTCAAGTCTTAGCTCAAAAAATTTCTGGGATAGTACGTGGGATTCACCTAGACTCAGCACTGAAGTTTGTTCCACCTTACCTAGATTTTCCTAAAATTAGTTAAACTCTGGCTCACACCGACAAGGCTGACATAAGAGTAGCTCTGATACCATTTGTAACAGCCTATCCCGCTAGTGATATTGTCCGCTTTGGACCTAGACCAGCACAACTTTAAAACGTGTCACTAGTTAGTTGGTAAAAACATGCTTACTTATATACCCAACATCTCTCGTGTGTTTTATCGATGTGTGAGACTTCCTATTTTAAGATGGGGTGTCACATCAATTTAGTACTTAGAACATTTTTGGACTGACTTATTGCTTTTGACTTATAAGCCAAAAGTCATAATTAAAAATTCGAACTTATGATGACTTCTGGCCTATTTTTATTTTTTTAGATTAAAAATAAGTGATTATAAGTACTTTTTAAATTTTTCCAAATACTTTTAAAATGTTTAAAAGATATTTTAACTTAAAAAACACATTAAAATAAACTAATTCAAACAAAGCCTAAATGGTCCAGTAAATTTGATGGTATCTTGGATAAGTGATCTCTTCTACCACTTAGGAGTCGTTTGGTTTGAATGATGCTTTGATAGGATAAATTATGATAGATAAGTTATGCTAAGATTATATTTTATGGAGTGTTCGATTTGTTATATTCAAAGTAATAAATTTTAAAAAGAATTTCTTTGTTTACAAAAATACCCTTAATAAATGTGAAAAATGATGTATAAAAAGGGTTTAAAGGAGTATTATTGTCATTTTTTTTTATCCCGGGATAAGATATCTCTGGATTACTATACCACCCAAGGAGAGTGATAACTTATTCCGGTACTAATTATTAATTTCGGAATAAGTTATTCCAAACTTGCCAATCAAATAACAAATTAAGTGACGGTATAGTTTAATCCCAAAACTATTTGATGTTATCCTTCACACCAAACTACCCCTTAAAGTTTTAATGATTTACTT